TGTGATATTACTATATATTCAGATATTGCACAAATTGTATCCCTATTAGATTGAACTGTGAATGCACAGCAGATATGTCAAAACAAATCTAAGAGGATCTAAACATAATCCCTGTGGGACTCCGTAACTAACAGAACATATAAGATATTTGTAAGAGAAATCCATAAGACAAAAGCATTATTTTAAGGGTTGAAGCCAGTATTAAATATTCATTTTGTTACATTTGGGTGTTGTAAAGGAGCTGTTCATACTTCTCTTCCCTTCTTCTTTTCTTTGCAGTAGCTAAGAGAGAAATCCTTTCGTGGAGCAGATCGTTTTTTTGATTGTTTTAAAACTGGTTCCAAATTCAAGATTTAGATTTGAACCTTAAGCAAATATTGAAGACGTGTCTTTATACCTTGAAATACATTTATTTGGAGATCTCACCAAAATTATTATAATTTTTATCCTGAGATTAAAGTCACTCTTCATGAGATAAAGTCAGAATTTTGAGAAAAAAGGAAGAATAATGAGATTAAAGACAGAATTCTGCAAAAGATCTGAATCTCACATTTCCGACTTTAATCTTTGTATTCAAAAACAAAATAACTCAGTCAGATCTAGGGTTGCAAAGGGGCGGAACATTTCCGGTAAATTTCCATGGGAAGTTAAGCTGGGGAATTTTGGAAATATTTCATATTTGAAATTAATTAATTATTAAAGTTTCCCGCACTCTCGCGGGAATATCTCCGCAATGGAGCGAGCTTAAAGGGGACCTATCATGCAAAATGCACTTTTGTACGTCTTTTATACATGAATATGTGTCCCCGGTGTTCCAGGGAACTCACCAAGTGTCAGAAAACACAACCCTCTCTATTTTCCTCCATACCCAAATCTCTAAAAAAGGGGCTGCAACGGATCTGATAAAAACTGATCCAGATTTGAACACTGTCCTGACGTCAGGACGGTGGCGCTACGGCTATTGGGCCAACTCCACCAATCAGGAGGAGACAGCCACGGCCATTGCCGTTCGAAAGCGCTGGAGACGCTGTAGTACATATGCCAGGCCTGTAGGTGGTGCTGTTCTCACAGAATCAGCCCTTGCAAAAACAGGGGTAAAAAAGTGCAAATTGAGCTAAATGAGGCATGGCTAAAATGCATGATCTGTTTGGTATTTTGAAAAAAAAAAAAGTATAAATATGCCTTATGTAGGTATGGTCCTACACTATATTATTATAATATAGCATGATAGGTCCACTTTAATGAAATGTCAGGATATTTTGTCTTTTATCCCACACACAAACACACATCTCTGTGCTCATGAGACCCGTAATATCTGCTGCTGTGAAGCTAAATTACTTTATGAAAAGTGACTCACTGGATAGAGAATGAAAAAGAAAACTATCTCTTTGCTTTTGACAAGTTTTATCGTATTGAAGTGAGATTTGTATTGCTGCTCACCTTCAAGTATTTAAAGAGTTGAAGGCTTTTAAAGGTTTTAGAATATAATTTGATGACTTGTGGGGCCTCTGGGTGATTAACTGTGAGAGGTTCAAGGAAGATCTTGAAGAAAATCATTCAACATTATTCCTTGTTTTCCCACTTGCATGTTCCTTTTGCTGTATCATGGTAATTGGTTATATAAAGCACCAAATATGTGAAAGAGAAAAATATGTAACACATGTAAACATCGGTTCGTTTTTTTGGAGTGAAAGCTTTGCGTTATTGCATTATTGTAATAGAGTTGCTCAATGAACAAAGCTGATTTGTCTGTAAATGGATGTGCATGAGGCAAATTAGTGAAAAGGTCTCCATCAGTCAAACTTATCCTCACGCAGTTAATAATGACCTTTTTCTTGCATTGGAAATGTTTTCCAGGACTCTGATTACTTCCTCGTGCTTAATTTGATTCATTTTGACACAGGATGTCGGTGGGAAAGAAAAAGTAGGATTAGAAAAGCTACACAAGATGTGTATTTGTCTTTATTACATGAAAACCACCATCATTGCAAGATTATTTAAAGCTCCCATGTCATGCTTTTCCGGTTATTACCCGTCCCCTTGTGTGTTATGTAGCTTTTTCTGCATGTAAACGGTCTGCAGAGTCAAAAACCCTCAAAGTACACCCTGTAGCGAGTAAAACTCTAACACAGAAAAGACCTGTCTATGCTGCCCCAGAACGCCTCGTTGGAGATTTTTATTTTTCAATTTCTTTCTTCCTGGGTACAGTGACGTGCCCATACCCAAATGGACCATGGACGCGGGAAGGGGGGGTGCTGAGGGGGATGCAGCACCCCCATCTGCGAGGCTCCACTAGCACCCGCACCCCCAAATGCGGCGCACCTACAGTGTAAGCGCGCCACAGTTTCGCCGCTGCGAGGCTCCACTAACACCCCCCCCCCCAGCGCGTCACAGTTTCGCCGCTGAGAGAGTGTGTGTGTGTGAGGAGCTCCAGGGATTGGTGCTCAGGCTGAGTTCAGGCTGAGCTTTGCGATGTCTCGCTGTCTCGCAGACCCCACGCCGCAACCAGGAAACGACCCCAGTAAGCCAGCTCACACTGTCCGCTCCTCACAGCAGTGAGCCGCGCAACGTCCCGCCAACACGGCACCCAGACCCCACGCAGCATGCTCATCTGTTTGTCCTTACTGGTGTCATTTTCTGGTTGCTAACGCCATTGTAACACATAATCACTGATGTTCCGCTGTAACGGTGGTGGACTCATCAGAACAGAGTGGGCAAGCTGACCAATCAGAGCACAGTGGGCTCATAGGGAGGGGGGGGCAGGAGCTCCAACAAGCGGTTAAGGACAGAGAGTGAATACACATACTATACAGAGATGAGAAACCAATGTCATTTTGGAACATTGAACAATGTAAATCTATTCTAGTAGACCTCAACAATGGAATTATGATCAGTAGAAATGGCCATGACATGGGACCTTTAAGCACATCTGACTGTTAAAACTGACCAAAGAAAACATTAGAGTTCCCCCGTTTCTGCGGTTCTTTGAGGAGATTCTGTTGCAAAAAATCTTGTGTTTGTTTTTTCACCAAGTGTCAGAAAACACAACCCTCTCTATTTTCCTCCATACCCAAATCTCTAAAAAAGGGGCTGCAACGGATCTGATAAAAACTGATCCAGATTTGAACACGTTACTGACGTCAGGACGGTGGCGCTACGGCTATTGGGCCAACTCTCTACCTATCAGGGGAATGTGGGGTTGGGCCATGGCCGGCCATTGCCGCTCGAAAGTGCTGGAGACGCTGTAGTACATATGCTAGGCCTGTAAGTGGCGCTGTAGTCTGCCACAAAAGCAGCGAAGAAGACTTCCCGCCCATAGTTACCATGGTTACCCTTCTGTTTATTCTCCGCTGTGGCTTTTTTTCTCCCTCCCCGAGGCAAGCGTTTGCTCCCGCTCCAAACGCTTGCGGGGAGGGATTGCTCAATGCAATCCCTCCCCGTCGAGGCAAGCACTGTAATTCTCTCCGGTTAGTCCACCAGCAGATGACAAACACCCACCTCTCCGCCTCTTCCAAGGAACGAGGGGACCGTGCGGCAGAGTTTCAGTTTCAGTTTCTTTCGCCGGTCAAGATGTCCGTTAAAGTTTCAATCTTCCGGACAAAATTAGAAAAGTGCCGGTCAAAGGTCTTCTTTGTTATTTATTGAGCTTTAAAACAAATGAATAACGACTCTATATAATAAAACACGGAGATCTCTTTTTCTCCCCCTCTTCTGACAGCCCAGCAGCTGATGAGAGCACGTCTCACCTCTCCTGCAGGGGGGCGTGGTCAGCAGAATCAGACCCGTAGACAGCAAACAGCACATAGAGCAAAATGAGGCATGGCTAAAATGCATGATCTGTTTGGTATTTTGAAAACAGAAACGTATAAATATACCTTATATAGGTATGGCCCTACAATATATCATTTAAATATAGCATGATAGGTCCACTTTAAGTTTCACTTTCGATTGCATGATATAGCCCAGCGCAACACCTTCGTCACACATGTTGCCACTTGTTTGTACCATTTTCAGGCGATTTGTAATCTGTTCTAGAAAAACGATGTGTTTTTGGATATTTGCGAGTCTGAGAGTGTTGTGAGGAATGCACAGTGCCTGTAGGGGGTGTGGTCTCAATAGCCATGCAGTAAGCAGTGTGCTATGTAGATGTTATTGAGGAATGGCATGGATATTCAAGTGTACTTGAATGGCATCTGTTTGTTTTAGTCAAGATTATGCTAACATATACTTTCCCCAACTATATTTAAGTTCCCTATGAAGAGCCAACCTTCAATTTAGAAAATTCCCAGTTTATTCCCATAAATTCCCGTTTATTCCCATAAATTCCGGTTTATTTCCATAAATTCCCGTTAATTCCCATGGAAAGTTTCCATCTTTGAAAATTCCCGGAATTTTGCAACCCTAGTCAGATCTAACAGTTATTTGTTCAATAAGTTCATATGTGGCCCTCTTCAGTATACAGTATATTAACAGTATATTAGTTTAGGTTGTGAGAAGATGTGAAGATGGAACAACTCTACTTTAAAATAAGATTACATTTCCAGATATTAATAACTGGTTACTTATCAACACCCTTCATATCTTTAGCTGGCCCTTATTTGTTTGTATCTCCTGTTGCTTTGAAAAGACGTCATTTGCAAGAAAAAGCAAAAGAGGTGGTGGAAAACAACTTTTCAAATAATGGCAAAAGAGGGAATCTCTGACGTGCATTTTTCCACACCACTCCTGCAAAACCTACTTCAATGTGCAATCATGAGGAAATATAACCCAATCACCCATAGATTGACGCAAAAAGCTTTCGCCTTGTGATGCAAAAGTGACGTCTGAAGGAACGATGACACTGGAGAGAGTATGAAGAGACTGTTGGGAGGATGGTTAGATGAAGGGGGGGCTGTGTTTGTGGGTGGGAAGGTGGGGGTGGAGATGAGGAGAGAGAGAGTCTGATCCTTATAAACTGAGGGAATGGAGCCCACTGCATTTCACAACCAACCAGAAAAACTGCAAGGAAGGGGAAGCATTTTAGGAGCTGGAGGAGAAGAAAAAGAAGAGGAAGCAGCGGCATCTCATCCAACTCCAGACTCTTTAGCTGTCTGACCTTTAACCTTATGGACTAGACTCTTCCTCAGGTGAATTCTTCTCTGCGGGATCCTTTTTTTCTTTTGGTTTGAGTTGTTTTCACATCAAGATGCAGGCTCAGTTGGCGTGTATGCTTCTCCTCTGTTTCACATGTGGTGGCCTTTGTACAGGTAAGCTCCGGGGCTCTCTCAAGGTTTTATATATGTATGCATTGTGTTTTGGTTTCACGATCAGTCACTGTCTTCATTCATAGAAACAAAATAGGGGAAAAGCCATGACACTGAATTGTGGAACAAGTGTAGGAACATACTGAATGCAACAGGTGGCTTTTTTTGTTGATGTTGCAAAAGTTTGCATATTCTTAATAATGGAAATACTTCGGTTTGAAACAGAATTTTTACGGCAATACTTCTACACAACATTATTGTTTACTGAGTTTTGTTTTACAGATTAAATCCTTAAACACCCTGGCTGCCAAAATGATGTATTCTTAAGATAGTTACACAATTTTCTGGCTTACTTAAGGAGGGTAATTTTGTGAGTGAGTTCTATTTTTCATCAAGTCTTTTATTCTTCTTATTTTCGGCACAAATTGTGACTTATTAATTCAGGATTCCCTCCTCTTTTAGGCTCAATAAACCCCTTTCACTCAGTTATCCAATGTAATGATTCCTGATTTAAATATTAGAAAAACATTTGAACCCCATTTTATACAAAATAGAAACCCAAAAGATTCAACATAGCGAGTGAACCATAATTGATATTTCTGAAATACATTTAATTTGATTTATTTAGTCAAATTTAAACATGTCACATTGAACTGTTCAAGAATCAAAATCTAAAGGTAATATACTGTATATAACAATGCCACTTTTGGTCCAATGAGCCAATAACAGTCAGTCTGTAAAAAAAAGTGGGTTTTTCTCATTTCAATTCTTACAATTCAATTGAGAATATTACGGAGCAATCTCAGGATTTACGATTTGGTTGAAGGTGATATACTGTTGATTGGTTTAACAAAGCTTTATTGGGTTAACTGTGTTTTATTTCAATCTCAAGGCACACTGGGAGCGCCATAAATCAATAATGTGTCACCTGTTGAATGCTTAAAACTGTCTACTGACACACCAAAAAAAAAAATAGTGCTTGAGATATAAGTGCTGCAAACCCTTCTTGACTTCAGCTCACAAAGAAGAGTCTTGACACCAGCAGACAAAATAGCTTTTCATATCTCCTTGACATTTATTATGGAGCCATCTCAGGATTCATGATTAGATTTGGTTGAAGGTTAAATATCCGTTTCTCCTCTAACTGACAGGCGTGGACCAGGATCAGCGAGCGCTGGAAGAGGACATTCTCAGCAGCCTCTTCGCTTCCAAGGTAATAAGTTCCACTTTATTTGCAGCTGTCATTTCAGAGACTGAGTGTCCACAGCGGTCAACGAGTAACCCTTCAAACCTGAAACTCATAAAATGCTGATGAAATATACGTTTAGAGAATTTTCTCTAACCCTAATCCAAGCAGTGTGGATGTGTTCTACTTCTAAGTTTACCACCAATTTGAGAAAAATAAAATCCTTATTTCTATATTTTATAATGCCCCACTTCTTATAATAGGGTAAACACCAACAACATGCAATCTGGATCCATGCTTCACTCATCGCTGCACATTTTTATTGCGTTTTTGTGTCACTCAGGGTCTAACTCGCATATAAACTTGCTTTTTTTTAAATGGAAACTAGATGGCACTTTACATTTTTTTACATTTCTGTAAATAAGAGCTAATGCTAAGGTAAGGAAAGTTATTTAGTTGTCTCTTGGTGATTTCTAAACTCATTCATATGGTGATATGAGCTCAAGACCAGGCACATCTTGGGGATGAAGTTGGAGTGAGACTCGAGTAGACAGATGTCCGAGCCTAATTGCACTCAGATGGACCTGACAGAATAATAACGACACATCCTCCACCTCCTTCCATTCGATAAATAACCGTGATGCTCTTACGGAGACGTGACAGTAACAAATCAGTGGCATGATTCATCGCTGCTGAAGGTAGCTCAGGGGTGATGATTGTAATCATAACTTGCCGGATGATTGATGGAGTGCTCAAGAGTCTGGAAAGTGCAGTATGGTAGAATATATGCTATCATAACTACTTATATGATCTTTTTATTTATTTTTTACGAGGCAGCTAGATTGATAGACCTGCTTGTCCAGTTTTCTTTTTCATCTGATTACGTGCAGGAAGTAGGCTTCCTATCCAGTTCTTATTGCTCTATTGAAAACGATAGCAATAATCCACATCCAGTGTTCATCTGTTAGTCTCCCAAATGTTACATTGACCTTTGCGAAGTTGCTCCTGATTGAGTTATAGATTGAGTTTTGCAGCACTTTTAACATTTTGGTGGCTTTTCACGTACAGAAAATTCAATATTCATAGAGAGGAGGCTAATTTGTTAACAATACATGGGTCAACTGAGGATTTTTTGAATATTGAACCCCTACATTAACTCTGAATCCCCCCTCCTCAAAGTTATTGACCGACCAGGACAATAGGAGATGTTCCCTATGTCGCCACAAATAGAAACAATCCTTCAAGTGACCTTCTTAGTATCATTAAAACCACTTGTGCGTTGTTTTCTGGAAGTCTCCTTTTCAATTGTCTTCGATTTCAGATCCGCGAAAAGCTATTTCCGTTGACTCCTTTAAAAGCAAACTCAAAACCCATCTCTTCGCATCTGTCTTCCTTGTAAACTCATTTCCATCCCCTAGTTTCCATCTACATTACCATCACTTCAGTCACATTTTTATCACATGGCAATACTTATGTTGAGGTATAATGTTGTATAATGTTTTTATCATTTTTATGCTATGACGTTTGTATTTTGTTTTTGCTTTTGTTTGCTTTGTACAGCCCTCTGAGGCATTTCTTGTGATTTGGGGCTATAATACATTTTGATTTGATTTGATTTGAATGGCTTTCCCTCCGAGAAACCATGTATTGACCATGTCTGAAATCATTACAACATCAGAGGGGACTGTATTCCTCTGACGCTCATAAACGATGAGAGATTTGGACATTTACAGTAACTTAGAGGCGACAATATCCCCTCGCCTTCTGACTCTCTCTATCACCCTCAGTGACACACGGTGGTCTTTGCGGCAGTGTGTGTGAGATTATTCAAATATTTAGAAAAGTTGCAATACTTTATTGTAACAATACTCTGTTACAAGTCCTGCATTCAAAATCTTTCTTGAGGAAAGGTACAACAGTATTGTTACCAGAAGTAAAAGTACTTAAGGGCGCATCTAACAATCATGCATATTAAATGATGGGTTATGATTAATTATGGATTCATGTATTCATCACAGCGGTAATGTTGGATCTGATTTGATGTACCTTTTATGGATAGTAATAATCATGTGTTAATGTTTACCTATTATTAGGCTTATAAGCTGAATCCGTAAAGTAAGTAAATCGGTCAAATATATGTGAGTTAAAGGAACAATATTGGCCCTTGGCTGCTTTTGTTTGTTCCCTTGTGCGTTGTTTTCTGGACGTCTCCTTTTGAATGTCTTCCCCTCGGAGAAACCATGTATTGACCATGTCTGCAGTCATTACAACATCAGAGGGGACTGTATTCCCCTGACGCTCATAACCGATGCGACCAAAGCGAGTCTTGGAGAGCTTTGGACATTTACAGGCGACAATATCCCCTCGCCTCCTGACTCTCTCTATCACCCTCAGTGACACACGGTGGTCTTTGCGGCAGTGTGTGTGAGATGGCCTTCCCACGTGCAGGGGCCCCGAGGCCCTCCACCATCTTAAAGCACTCAAACCACACAAACAGGCTGCGGCGAGATGAGGTTAGATGTGACTGAAATATCACTCTGGGTGTCTGGTGCCTGAGAATGTTTAGGGAATAGTACAATAGGGGGGCGTGTGGCCCCACTGCAGTCAGCATGTCGTTGTGTCCCTGGGCAAGACACTTTACCCCAAATTGCTCCTGTGGGGATTGCCCACAGTATTGAGTATGTAAGTCGCTTTGGATAAAAGTGTCTAACAAGTAACATGTCATGTAATATGCACATATATCTTAACTGCTGTCTTAAAGGTAGGGTAGGTAATTTTGGAGAAACCAGCTCGAGTGCGCTAGAATTAGAAAATACACAGCCGGAAAAAAATCTGCCACTTCCTTACAGAGCCCCTCCTCCAACACACACGAACGCGCACATGACCAATGAGGGCACGAGATAAGTTTGTGCACAGATGGAAGGCTGACAGGCAGGTAGGCCATCCAGTTATTTTAACCGGGCCGGCTAAAATGATTGGTCGTGCTTTTTACAGTACTACGGCTTCCACAGATGACATTTCTTTATGGATTTTTTGTCAAAGCACTTAAGATATTCATTGCTATCGGGATGTTAAGAGCATTCCATGGAATATAACAAAAAGTGTATCTCGAGCCGGTTTCTCAAACTTACCTACCCCACCTTTAACATGTGGCAGTCTGCATCAGTGCTCAATGTGTAAAAGAAGAGGGGGGAGAGGGGGGCTTAAATGCATCCTCAGTGCCTCTTAAAGGGAATTGCAGAAGCTTTTATGGCCTCAACTGTAAACACTCAGCGGGTAAAATGGTTCTCAGTGTGAAAATCCTCCAAAACAGCATTTAAAGCGCAGCACTTCAGGGCAACACATTAAAATGCATCGTGTTGGGTAAGCTGCTCTTTAAGGAGGCTGATCCATTGCATATGATCTTAAACACACAGATTCTTATTCTATATTCTTATTTACGATATAAAAGAGATTATTTCGCATGCAAAAAAAGAAAATGAATATGGAGATACAGACGTGACCACATAGTGAAGGATGTATCATTGATAACTTTTTATTAAATAAGAATGATCTCCACAGTATAAACACATGGAGATCTGACTGAATACACCCGAAAATGTATTAAATATAAAGAAATTCAATACAATATACCATACCCCATACTGTAATACTGTCTTACTGAAGATATGTTTCATAATTAATTAATTGTGTATAATTATTTATTCTAATGCATATTTAAATAAACTCTGCACTTTACCGCTTTGTGCTGATGTGTAATGCTGAACCACATTTCACTGTCTCATTACTAATGACAATACAATTGAATTGAATAACATTTTAACTAATTTCATAATACCACTTACCACAAATGTAATATTTTAAAGCTTCTTCACAACATACTTTTTTTTTTAAACATGTTAAGATTATAGCAGGTCTGTTGGATTAGAATAAATTATATATCTTTTTGCATCTTTTTATAATTGTGTCCAACCTGGATCTAATGATCAGAGCAGAGCGTTCATAACCGAAGATAAAAAGAAAATTGCAATAATTAGACTTTAATTTAATAAGAAAATAAACTTCTTCATGTTCAATTTACACTTAACCCAAGTTCACATAGTTAATTGAAACTTTAATTAAATCATCCCCTCAAACAAGGATCACATTTATTGCCTACTTTGAATTTAGAAAAGCAATCACTTCCTGATTTAGATTTGAAACCTTATCCATCTCCATTTTTCTTGTTCCCTCTCTGCAGATGAAACAGAATAAGCAGAGCGCCCCCTACTGGCGCGTGTCGCTGGGCAACCTGTGCAGGCTGGTGAGCGGCATGAGCAGTGAGGAAGAGGAGCAGGAGGAAGAGGAGGGGGGGCAGCTGAGGGAGGAGCTGTACAACCTGCAATACATCTGCCGAGCTCTGCAGAGGGAGGACAGGGTGAGACACACACACACACACACACACACACACACACACACACACACACACACACACAAAATGTCATGGTACTGATACACAAGTATCAGTACCATGACATTTTACTTTGATTTTACTAATGATTTTATCCAAAAACCAAGAAAAAACTAAAATAACCAAGCCAGTAAAGACAGTAACAGCATGTGTTGTCTGATATAAAATAAAATAAAAGACACACTCACACAAACACTGGAACAGGTTTAGTGTTCATCCATCCTATAAACTCACCTCATTAAACGCTTATGTATCTCACTCCTCATTGTCTCCCTTTTCCTCTCCTCCATCAGCTCCTTACACAACAGCCTTTCAGTTTTTGATGGTCCTTACACAGCGACTGCAGATTAGCTCTTGTTTTGCAATGCATGGAAGCACAGAGGAGAAGCACTCGTTCAATCACAGTTCCCATTACCTTGGCCGCCTGGCAACAAAACACATGTTTGCGTGTCATTTCCTCCTCTCATCGTGTCTCTCTCCCTCTCATCGTGTCTCTCTCTGCCCCTAACAGCTACTCCATGACTCTCAAGAGTATCTAGAGGAGAACAGTGACACCCCGCTGAAACGAAAGTCACCTTACATCCTGAAGAGGCAAGCCGCACGCACCACCAAATCCCGGAGGCCGTACATCTTGAAACGAAGTTCAATTTACTGACCGGAGAAGATGGGTTTAGGGGACCAGACGATGTACAACCTGTGAAGATGTTATTGTGATTTGTCTCCAATTTTCTGTGGCTGCAATGTTTTTTCTTTTCCCATTGTTGTTTTGAATCCAGTCAGACCCTTCGATTGTATGTCCGGCATTCAGGCCTGCCTGTATCCTGCTCCTGAAAAGCAAAGCTCCTGAAAATAAACTTAAACTGAGTATCAAGCAAATGGCGTTTCCCCGAGAAACTATATTTATTTATTTAATATCTTTACTGCACACTGAGTCTATTTTTTGTTCAGGATATGATTAAAGAATTCATGAAACGAAACTAGTTTGATGTGAATATCTTTTATTTCAGCTTGCTAGCAGAGATGTTTAATTAATCAGCACATGTGTATTCATCCGCTGATGAAAAGATTCAGCCTGGAAAAGCCTGGAAAAGAACAGTATTTTTGTAGAAGTTTTAACACAAAGTACAGGGACACAGCTGTTTAAGGAAAGTCTTTTTAAAAATACAAATATATATTTGTTTTCATTAGGTCTTCAGTTAAAATATTGGGCTGATTGTAGAGGTACAGAAGAGACAAACATTATGAAAAATGCAAGAGGCCCAATCATGCTCTTTGGGTTTCCTGTAGTGTGATAGGTTTTCGTGCTATACATGGTGTTCAACGACTAAAATCCCAAAGTTCCTTCTAGAGGGAGTTTCTCTCCGACACATACCCCCCCCCGCCCCCATGCCTGAAACACCTCCATTTGACTCCTTTTTTAACCTCTAAAATATAGTGATATCAATATGTAACATTCCCACTTCTATTGGCCTATCATTGTACATGATAGACTGAGGGGCGGGACATCTCTGAGCGGTTGACCAATCACAACAGAGCCGGCCAGCTAACCAATCAGAGCAGACTGGGCTATGGTTTCAGACAGAGGGTGAAAAGAGGTGCTGCACTTTTAAGCATGGAGACATGTCACAGGAGAGACACTAAATACTGATATGGACCTGAATATGAGCAGAATAGGGCCCCTTTAACTTCTACATTTCAGCAGACTGCTTTGGCAGCTGTTCTACTGTATTTCTTTATGAGCCGTGCAGCTGCTGCCAGTCATTGATTTAAAATACTGCATTCAAGTTTGGGAATAAAAGCAAAGATTGGTTTTCTGGATGTTTAAATTAAGCACATACTGATTAATCTTAATACCGTCAACATTGGGTCAGTGTGTGCTCCGGTGGTGAGAATGTTTCAAAGCGGCAACGAGAAAGTTCATCTTTCAGCAGATAAAAAAGACTTTGAGCGTGGCGAATGAGAGTCTTGGCCTTTAATACAAATGTGGTTTCATCTCCTAATCAAAGTGCTTCTCTGTCCTTTAAAACTCAGCTTTTAACCCTCAATCAAAGATCTGGATGAAGCGCAGAGAAACCCGCTTTGAACATCCTCGCTCTGTTACTCTGGAGCTTCAGGAAAAACATTCTGCTAAATGCTTAAATGTACTACACCAATTTACACCATTGGTCTCTGAGCAGGTAAGGCAATTAGGATGGATTTGACTTTTTTTAAGGACAGTAAAACCCCTTAGCAGACTCTTAAACCGTGTTTAATGAGAGTTGTACATCGGTTTTAATTGTATCGATGTTTGTTCAGCTTTCCCTGAAGCCCACTCCTCCAACAAGATGATTGGTGCCACGAGATAACTTCTGCTTTTCTACCTCTTAAAGTACTGTTACACGTCCCTAGATGTGTTAAGTGATACATCAGGCAGGACAAAAACTGCATTTCACTCTTGCTGTGATCGTGCTGAGAAACCAGACACAGGATGTTTTTTTAAAGTATTTCACACCTATTTCACCTTTTTATCAAACCAAACTCCTCTCAGGCCTGCACCAGTGTCCAAAAGATGTCCCACCCCTTAGCCTATCACGTACAATGTGTTGGATCCCAAGACAATACAAGCGTGAATGTTAGGGATGTCACTATGTGTGGGAGAAAAACTCCCTCTGTAGGGAACATTGGGATGTTAGCCTTTGAAGACCATTCACAAAACCTATAACACACTACAGGAAAGGGAAAACCCAAAAGCATAATAGGGTTTCTTCAAAGCATCAAAGTCAGTTGTATTATCCACACGGTACTATTAGGGATTCATCTCACAGGGTAAGTACCTTTTATATTTACAGTGTATGGTCAGTACATCAAAATTCCACAAAAACATTTCAAGTAGTATTGAGTAAAACCGACAGTTTTGGTCTTGAGGTACCAAGTCTTTTTCTATGTGTCTCCAGAAACACTATTACACTCAATAATCCACAGTCCTGACTTTGAAATGATTTCAGTTGGACTATTTCTTTGGGAGTAAAAGGTTACAAGAAAAACTTCAAAGTATTTTGTGTCATTTTCTTCGAATCTTTGAGCTCCAGAAAAGAAGATTACATGTGGCTCTTTTGTATTGGGGTGCCAGTAGAAATCTCAGAAACAGATATCTTTTTTAAAATTGATCTTTCTGCACTGCTAGATACATTGGATTTTGAAGTGTCAAGGGCTTATACTCAATTCCATTTTTGTGTGAATGAAAGAAAATAAATGACCTTAAAAGATGGAGAGGGTCGAGTGGAGAAAGTATGTAGTCCAAAAGCACCCAAACTCAAATGACATTTTAAGATAAAATAAGCTTTAGCGGTCACTGTTCCAGATTATTATTCACTTCAAGTAGATATTTATCTTCTCTGGTTGCAAAAGCCTAACTGCAAAGCTGCTGGAAATGTTCCCTCAACATTAAAACGCTAAGGTGCCTTTGAGTCAGACCCTTGAAACGAATAGCTTCAACTTCAGTTGGCTGCTGTTGAACTTTAATGTGTCAAATTATACCTGTGAAGCAGGAAAAGGTTTAATAAATACCAAAGGCAGCCTCTATTATTATTCCTTTCATGTCAGGGACCACCAACAGTGTAAGTGCCCGTCACAGGCAGCGGATGGCAGTGTTGTTTAACTAGTGTGATTTACTGCGCAGTGTGAATAAGTGCAAAGTGTCATATACATACAAGTATCCCTAGAAACTGAAAAAGAAAACTGTTTATAAAAAGAAATAGAGATTTTTTGCAACAGAATCTCCTCAAAGAACCGCAGAAACGGGGGAACTCTAATGTTTTCTTTGGTCAGTTTTAACAGTCAGATGTGCTTAAAGGTCCCATGTCATGGCCATTTCTACTGATCATAATTCCATTGTTGAGGTCTACTAGAATAGATTTACATTGTTCAATTTTCCAAACTCACATTGGTTTCTCATACAGCATCTCTGTATAGTATGTGTATTCACTCTCTGTCCTAAACGGCTTGTTGGAGCTCCTGCCCCCCGCTCCCTATGAGCCCACTGTGCTCTAATTGGTCAGCTTGCCCACTCTGTTCTGTCCGAGTCCACCACCGTTACAGCGGAACATCAGTGTTTATGTGTTACAATGGCGTTAGCAACCAGAAAATGACACCAGTAATGACAAACAGATGAGAATGCTGCGTGGGGTCTGGGTGCCGTGTTGGTGGGACGTTGCGCGGCTCGCTGCTGTGAGGAACGGACAGTGTGAGCTGTATTACTGGGGTCGTTTCCTGGTTGCGGCGTGGGGTCTGCGAGACAGCGAGACATCGCAAAGCTCAGCCTGAACTCAGCCTGAGCACCATGGACGCGGGAAGGGGGGGTGCTGAGGGGGCTGCAGCACCCCCATCTGCGAGGCTCCACTAGCACCCGAACCCCTAAACGCGGCGCACCTACAGTGTAAGCGCGCCACAGTTTCGCCGCTGCGAGGCTCCACTAACACCCCCCCCCAGCGCCTCACAGTTTCGCCGCTGAGAGAGTGTGTGTGTGTGAGGAGCTCCACGGATTGGTCCATTTTGGTATGGGCACGTCACAGAACCCAGGAAGAAAAAAATGGAAAAAGAGAAATGTCCAACGAGGCGTTCTGGGGCAGCATAGACAGGTATTTTCTGTGTTAGAGTTTTACTCGCTACAGGGTGTACTTTGAGGGTTTGTGACTGCAGACCGTACATGCAGAAAAAGCTACATAACACACAAGGGGACGGGTAATAACCGGAAAAGCATGACTTGGGACCTTTAAATAATCTTGCAATGACGGTGGTTTTCATGTAATAAAGACAAATACACATCTTGTGTAGCTTTTCTAATCCTACCTTTTCTTTCCCACCGACATCCTGTGTCAAAATGAATCAAATTAAGCACGAGGAAGTAATCAGAGTCCTGGAAAACATTTCCAATGCAAGAAAAAGGTCATTATTAACTGCAGTCGTATGATGTCTCTATTTGGCATTTGAGTGAGGATAAGTTTGACTGATGGAGACCTTTTCACTAATTTGCCTCATGCACATCCATTTACAGACAAATCAGCTTTGTTCATTGAGCAACTCTATTACAATAATGCAATAATGCAAAGCTTTCACTCCAAAAAAACGAACCGATGTTTACATGTGTTACATATTTTTCTCTTTCACATATTTGGTGCTTTATATAACCAATTACCATGATACAGCAAAAGGAACATGCAAGTGGGAAAACAAGGAATAATGTTGATTTGCTACAAGATCTTCCTTGAACCTCTCACAGTTAACCACCCAGAGGCCCCACAAGTCATCAAATTATATTATAAAACCTTTAAAAGCCTTCAACTCTTTAAATACTTGAAGGTGAGCAGCAATACAAATCTCACTTCAATGCGATAAAACTTGTCAAAAGCAAAGAGATAGTTTTCTTTTTCAGTCTCTATCCAGTGAGTCACTTTTCATAAAGTAATTTAGCAGCAGATATTACGGGTCTCATGAGCACAGAGATGTGTGTTTGTGTGTGGGATAAAAGAGAAAATATCCTGACATTTCATTAAAGTGGACCTATCATGCTATATTATAATAATATAGTGTAGGACCATACCTATATAAGGCATATTTATACTTTTTTTTTTTCAAAATACCAAACAGATCATGCATTTTAGCCATGCCTCATTTTGCTCAATTTGCACTTTTTTACCCCTGTTTTTGCAAGGGCTGATTCAGTGAGAACAGCACCACCTACAGGCCTGGCATATGTACTACAGCGTCTCCAGCGCTTTCGAATGGCAATGGCCGTGGCTGTCTCCTCCTGATTGGTGGATTTGGCCCAATAGCCGTAGCGCCACCGTCCTGACTTCAGGACAGTGTTCAAATCTGGATCAGTTTTTATCAGATCCGTT